AAAAAAGGAAAGTACAAACTTTAAGACTGTAACATTGCAGTCGAAATGTTATAAAAATGTCGAAGTTTGTTAAAAGTTAAATAACTTTAAAATATTTAATGGAATAGCGAATAGCTGTCAGAATAAAAATTACAAAAACCTAAAGTAAGGTTAGTTGCCTAAAGCCCGTTTTTCATTTTTATGCCAGTCGAATGCCGAATCGTCCAAAATTCCGTGTCTGCAATTGTATTGTTTTTTTTTTATAAAACTTATTTATATGTTATATTTTATAAAAAAAATTAAAATAATTACTTAATTTTTTTTATAGTAATGCAATGTAAGAAAATTTTTATTTATTATAAAAAAAGATTATAAATAATTGTTGCAGAGAATGCGTTGAGTTGACCAACATTCAAAGTATCAAAGTATAATAATGATCAAATGATCCCTACTCGAAGACAATTTTTTAATAATAAAATTAAAAAAATGTTAACAAGTAAAGATTTTACTATTCAGATATAAGTACCTATCTTGTTTTTAATCAATCAAAAATTAGATCGATTTTCTTTTTCAATTTTACTCTTAAATAGCGAAGTTTCTTGGCAGTTTGACACTCTGTACCTACAATATTTTTGCAATATGTTGCAATTTTTTGGTAGATTATTAATTTATTACATATTCGATAGTATACAGGTTATTTTATTAATAAATGTTCAAAATTACCCACATATTATGTAAATCATAAATGTTATTATTAGGTAAATAAAAATCTACACATTAACTTTTTAATCTTAGTGTAGATAGAAAAATTATAGGCATCATTAACATATTTTGAATGATTTTAATCCAAATGTTTTATTTATGATGCAATACATATAATTGTGTTAAAGGGTCAAGGTCAAAATATGTTGATATGTATAGGCAACTGAGAATGTAAATTTTCTTCTTCTTCATCGCTAAATCATAGTAAAACTACTCAGTTGCTATAATTACAGCAAATTATACCTAAGCGTATTTTGATGTAGGTACAGTAAAAATTTTGAATTCAGACATTCCATGTTGTACAGATAGCGCGAGGACCACTAATAGCCACCAGTTAGCGAATAACGACCGCAATCATTGAAGCAAATTATTCAGTAAAATGATATGATGCTCGATTGCTCGTTGTCAAACAATCTGATATAACCTTGACCCAAATTATCGATCAATAATTTTGATTTGTATGCACCAAGCCTGTGTCATTTTAAATCTGAGTGTAATATTATATTGCGAATAAGAAAAAGGCAAGTGTTGACGTAAGACCATAGCCATGAGCTGATCGATTTATTTGCAAAGAAGCCACTAGCGCCGCCCTTTATATGTGAAATGAATGAAAGCGAGAGACAGGAAACTTAATGTTTGCAGAAATAAATTACAATGAATGAATAAAATCATTTCAGAGAGTCGGGTGAGTTGCAGGATCAAATTATTCAAGGTTTAACGTCATTTTCCGTCAGGTGTTAAAAACATATTTCACATATTTACGCAAAATCATCAGAATTTTTACATATAAAAAGTAAATTATTAATTCTATTATAAACTAAATGAAAAAAATCGTTAAAGCCTCATAGGACTCCCCGTGGATTTGCCCTTGATTTGTAATTTGTTCTGTGTAGACATTGAAAGTAAAAGACGAAATGATAACAAATTAATAACTGGTTTCGCCTTTGATTTAGCTGATTTTTTTCTGATAAATTGTAGTGTTTCCAATAAAAAACTTGAATTTGCCCTGAATATACAGTAGCAAACATAAGTCAAAATTTTGTTCTATAAATCTTTATTATAACGGATATTTTTTTAAAATCCTGAACACTTAGTAGTTTCGTTTATGAAGGATTTGGGAGGGATCTGGAGTTTGACTTGATTTACAACCGTTTCTGGTGCGATGGCTCAGAATAAGAGACCGGGGTGTTATTTTCTCCACTCAGTTACGTATGAGAGATTTAATACAAGGCCAAAATGGTTCTAAACTCAATAAGCCATAATAGAGATTTACATTGTTTTTGCATAATTGTTTTACAATTTACCAAAAAAAATCCACATTTGCAATGCAAAATTCTCACAATTGCGTTTCGAGATGGATAAAAAGTGTGTCTGTTTATGTCACTTGTTTTTTCCGATCAATTTTTATGTTTATTTTTAATCACAGCTAAACGAATTTCGTGCTGAGTTTAAAATGAATTCATAATGAACACAAAGCGCAGTTCCTAATAGAATTTCCACACTAAATTTTACAATGATAACAACTTATCTTGACTTTTTAAACATTTGGTTGTAAATTTACTTAAATTTATTTTTATTTTTACTGGATACGTGAGCTATTTTTATTTTATACATTTTTACACATTTTTAATACGATACTTCACACAATGAAGTTTTATAAAGAACATATTATTGTTTTTTACCAGAAATATTTCCCATTCTGCACATGTACACTTACATTGTTTTAAAATTTATCATTAAGGCTCGGATTATATGCAAAATGCATATTTGTTATTAAGAGGTATATCAACAAAATTGTAAGTTTTCTATGCATGTCTAATGTTTTTTGATTAAAATAAGCCAATTAAAATTGCATATTTTGCATATTTTGGCAACTTCGTGCATATTTTAGGAAATAATGCATATTTGTGAATATTTTCTTCAAATCACAAATTTCCGATTAAAAATTTCAGTTCAAGTTAAAAATTGGCCAGTTTAAGAAAAATGATCCGATTACAAAATATGTTAAAGAGAAAATAACCAGTAAGCCGGACTCAAAGAATTAGTATCCTGCTAAGTGTTTCCTCTTTAAATTCATTTTATACAGGATGAATATGAAGTTTCGAACCAAACGGTTTTTTTTTTTATTATTTGCCTGTGGAAAATAATAATTAATATAAAATAAAGTAATATAAAAAATCTGATCGTATTTGCAAAACGAAATTTTGTTTTGCTTTGAGTTAATGCGATTTTTTTTGTCAAAATTGTAATTTATGTATTTTTTTTTTAATTAATAAAAAGTAGATAGTCTTTAACAAAGTTGTTTTTGGGAGAGTATACAAAACATTGTTTTTAGTGGGTTGCCATTAAAAAAAAAAAAATTTGTGTAGAACTCAAAAACAAAAAAATCGAAAAATTTTATTCTTGATAAAACATTTAATTCATCAATTACTTTTTTTAAAAATAAATAGTTTAAGATAAAAATGTTTCCATACTTTTTATTCACCTGGTATAAAACGAATAAATCTTTCTATGTGGATAAGTAGTTGCCTGCAAATGAATTTTAGCAAAATTGTTTAAGGTGATGTAATAGTAACTTTATTTTGACAGATGATGTCATCTGAAAAGTACAGATTTCTTAGAAAGGCTTAATTACTAGGTTATATAAATGGCTTGTCTGAAGCAAAACCAATTTACTTATTCTCTTTCGTTCATTGTGTGCGGTTCAAGATGATCAAAAAAACAAACTTTAGTGTACTCGAGGATAAAAATTTATTCCAACTTTGATTTTTTATTGTTAAAAGTTTTGCATATCGATGCATATTTGGCATATATTCGAGCATATTTCTTAATATTTTGTGCATATTTTTGTGAAAATACGTGCGCATATATGCGCATATTTTACGGATTTTTCGTGCATACAATCCGAGCCTTATTTATCATCAATTATTTTCTCATTTTTATACTATTATTTGCTTTTTAGATATACCTAAAAAGTAAATTTGTTTTTTTTTCAGTATCAAAAAATCAATAATTGAATTTTTAATAAATTTTCTTTATAACTTTTTATCTTCTGTAACAAAAACTAAAAAGTCATCAGATTTACAAAAATGTAAGATTTTAAAACTTTGCAATTGTTGTTAGGCAACTTTTTTTCCTAATTGATTTAATTAACAGGTCATTATGATGTTTCTTACACAATTACTACACTTTATACAAGTCGATACTTTTCTAAAAGCCGGTTTCATAATTAGAATTATTAAATTAAAAATATATTGATCGGAATGTGTTGGTTGATACTGATCAGGTGACAAAAATCTCAAATATTAAGACAATATTTATTTAAGAGTACTTTTATTTTATTGATTTTATGTTTCTTTAATTTTGTCACATTAAAAAATCTGTTTTCCTGCTGACAATTAACATGTGCATGTGCCAAACTCTTAAATTAAAGAAAAAGTATAAAAAAACGTTTAATTCGATTATCTTTTAAACAATGATTATGTGTTAACTTAAAGATACAAATGAGAAATTTTGAAACTGTTATGAAAAGTTTCAAATAATGTTACGTTTCCAAATTTTTTGGTTACATTTACAATTATTTAAGTTAAAATTTTACCATTTATAAAATGTAGTAAATACTAAAGTTATAAAATAAAAAAGAGTACACAAGAAAAATGTCTTGAAAGATTAATTGTATACTTGGTGCAAAAATGGTGGATGCGCCGGGCAACACCTATTAAATAAACTCAAGCGTAGACTTGGAGAAATTAATCACTCTAAATTTTATCCACAAAATACAAAGCCTTAGAGTATACAATACAGAACCACGTTGCTGCTGCAGATAAAAAAATTTGTGACTCGGTTTTTGTATTTTTCAAGTTTTTGTTTAAATAGGTATTGTTTGTAAATATTAAATACCTATAGTTACTACTAGGTGAATTATGAATGTTTAAATACTAGTAACATAAAACTGATTTCTTTTAAAGAGATTACTTCTAACTATTTACATACTGTGAAACCCCGTCTTTCTTGTTTATGGTCTGAACGTGATTTAAAGTTAACTTAAAACAGTTAGAATTTTTTATTTTCCCATTTTTTCCGTAAATGGCGGTTATTACTTACGATAATTTGGTTCTGAGCTACCGAACCTCATTCCCATACGGCGACATGCGTTAAGTTAACTGCAGGATGTGCGACAGTGAACTTCGTAGGGTAAAGGCGCAAGCGTAACTTCTATCTACCCTGTACAGTAGGAGTTTGAGTATTACCCTTTAGTATTGTGCGATCGGTAGAATTTCGTACGTTGTTCTTGTAAGTTGGAAACGAAACACTCCAACATGGGTAAAAAAAATTCCAAGCTAAAGCAAGACACAATCGACAGACTTACCACCGCCACATACTGTGAGTTTTCTTGTGCAACTTTATGTTTGTTTTCAACTTGTTTACAAAATGTGTCACACCAGCTTGAGACACCAACTTTCCTTTTATTAATAAAATACAACCAATTTTGTGTGAAGACAACTTATGTACCAGATTAAAACGGTGTTTCGGGTTAAATTGCTTTAACAGCTCGACTGTAATTCATCTTAACTGACTGCTTATTAAATTTTCTTGGGGGTGGCATGACAAGACTAACTCATTTTCTTTGGTTGTCGAGCTTCCACACTTAAAGTTTTTCTAGATACTAGAAAATAATACATCCGTGTATTTTTCGTCTTAAATGGATCATCGAACGTTTAAACTTTGTTTGCTCTATAAACACCATTTAAGAGAACAAACAGTGCGTAATGCGTTTAGACTTGGATATTACGACAGTTAGAAATAAATGATACAGCTTTTAAATTTGTTTGGGCGAACAAATATCTACACTCATCAAGACAAATAATGCACAAATGCAAGTTTATAGAGAAAATTGATTAGAAAACATGTGCACAGTTTTCTTTATCTTTTTCTCAATACAATAGTTACTGTGTTACCAACTTATAAATCCCTTAAAACTTTTTTTTTGCTTTTAATAATTAATGCTCCCGCACTTATTACGGGACCTGTTAAACGTTTCACCTAATCTATAATTACCTGGTCGTTTTGTTTCCTCTTTTTGGTTTAAGCTTGCAGGCTTTACATTTGAGGATATGAATTTAAACATAACATTTATTTAAAACATAAATATTTTATTTCTGTAGTTAATTTCGCTTCTTCAGCGTAAACAGCCATCATGAAAAGCGAAATGGCTTTTATTTATGATTATTATTTATCGTTTCGTAATATATCTCAAAACTAATTTCCGTTCCGTCCCGAACTGTCCTAGTTATTTTATTATTTATCAATAACGTATTATTGATCAACAAGTGTCTCCAATTGGTTTTCGTGCAATAAATATATTTTTTAATAAATCTAAAAACCTTCAACTTTTATAACCTGTCTGGTTAAGCTCGACGCTCTAAAATAAAATCCTCCAAAAATAACATTTCCTTAATATTGAAGCTAATAAAATTCGACATTTTTCGCATTACCATTTTCCTAGTTTGTCCGGAAACTTTTGCACAGAGGCCATATGCTGACTTTTAAAGCTTTTATTTGTTGTTGAAATTTAAAAGCTCTCTGTGCTAACAAAAAAATCTTTAAAAATTTAAATTGTGGAACTTTTGTAATAAAATTACTGCTCCGTTTACATCGACATTTTAATGCTAGCTTACGCAAATAGTTTTACTTCGCCAGTTGGCTGCATGTGTTTTAATCCAACCGCAAGTAAACACAACTTCTTGTTGACACTTTTTAGCAGTGTGTGCATTTAACCACAATCCTTTGCGTTTTTTTGCCTGTATTCAAATACTTAGTGATTTTTGTTCATTATTTTTATAAGCCGTTGAAATGATAACAGGAAAATGAAGTAATGCCAAAATTATGTTATAAATTACAAGATATGTGAAAGGAGACATACGTTTTACTCGTAAGATAAATGATTTCATTTCCGTACTTGTTGCATAAATAACTATTACTTATGACGGACACCTAATGACTGTAATTTCGCATTTATCTGAATAATGTTGTGACACTTGTGTGGAGTTTTATTTTATAACGAACGCTCCCACTATTGAAAAACAGAAAAATCAAAAAAAACTAGTCATGTGTTTGAACATAATTAATAATAACAAATACTACTAAATAAAATAATAACAAATCATATTGTGAGTCAAAATAAAAGTCTGGTGAAGGGTGTCCTGAAAATTTTATGAACGTATGTTGCGTATATATTGTTATACAGGGTGAGTCTTAACTTATACGCATAAACTTAGGGAATGATAGTTTTTGCACAATAATAACAAATAGTGAAAAAAAGTTCTTGTTATAGTTATATATATACAACACGATAAAGAAATTGTTTATCTACGAGTGAAAAGGTTAAGTTTACGAGTGACGAAGTAAATATTTCGTTTTATTTTTTACTCACCTACCAGAATTTCTTGAATATAAACAGTAGATAAAAATTACTTTATTTTACTAGACGATAAAAGATTAGACTAGACTTTAACATTGAGTACAAAATAAAAGTTATCGAAATATTGCATTATTAAAATACTATTCAACTTTTAAATTTTAATTAAATAATACCAAGATTATTATTATTTCGACCAAGCTTGGTATACTGCTAGATATTGACCTCTTTCTTATGACATTTTATAGTGACAAAAAAAAGTTATGATAATAGTTATTTATTAAACAAGACGAAAAAATTGAATTTTATATGAATATGAATTTTATATTATAAGATAATGAAAATTTTATCGTCGTGTACAATATAAAATTTTATTCAATCTTCACTAATTTTATAATCAATTTGGTCGATATTTATAAATATCAAAGTAAAATTCAACAATGAAATCTAATGTCAAAGATCGTTAGCAACTAACAACCGCAGATATACAACATTGGATGTATTTTTTTATCATCTAGACGATAAAATTTGATTTTAACATGAAGAAAAAAGTAGATAAAATCCAATTTTAACATAGAGGAATGAATAAATAAAATAAATAAAATAAAACTTTTTTGTTTTTCGGAGATATAAAAGCAAAAAATATAAACAAAATAAAAAAATTTCTCAAGTCACAATTTTTCTGTGCTCCTCTTTTTGCAAAATTTTTGTATATTTAGAAAAAAATCTGTTATACTAGAACAAAGCACGTTACGTGTAACTACGTAAAAGTGTTTCAGACGATTAAAATCGCGTTGCATGTTGCATGCGGGGGGTTGATGGGTTGATATATGCTTATGTCCTGAGCAACCCATCCTTAGTATCACGTGAGTTGAAGGATGAACTTTGTACAATCGCATGTTGGTGGCAGATTGAGACCGATGTGCAAATATGCCCTTTAGGTAATCAAATAATGGTGCGCAACACGCACGTCTTCTGATCGATTCGATTAGTTATGAGAAACAAGCTCTGCAAAAAGCATAAAGAAAGGGCGACAACCAACCAGTTAAGAACGTTATTTGAACATGTTGTGTGCACACCCGAACCAATTTCATTATTTTATCCAACTGAAATAATATTCTCGGAATATTGGAGGAGCAAGAACAAATACGCATTAGGAGTATTTGCGGATCTCAAATTTGCTCTTATAGAATTTCGGTTTTTATTTAAAACGCGGAGACATCACAGAGGAAAATTTTACACAAACTCTAACTCTCGTGACTATTTTTCCTAATGCTACTTGAATTTTTGATATAAAAATAAAATATACAAATGTATTTTGTTGATGCTCCTGGTAAATAAAATTTTCTGACCTACATCCGATAAAGAAGTTTATAAGCTACAAGCTTTTACCTACGACTCCGTTTGCATAACAGGCTAAAATCCTTTGCGTAAAGTGTGTGAAACCTAAAAACTGGTCGATATATACATGAGCACTAATATCTAAACCACCTACTTAAAAATTAAAAACCTTTTATGTTAAATAATAAAGTAAGATTACCCATAACTTTGAAACTACACAGTATCGCGAAAACAAAAAGTACTCTTGAAATAATAAAACTAAAAACTAAAAAATATGATGACATAATGTTGAAAATAGTGTTTGTTATTTGTGAAACGGTAGAGGGAAAAATATTATAATGAAAAAAGTTATCCATTTATGGAATAACTTAAAAAGTAGTTAGTTTATTACAGAAAAGTGGAAAAGTGTCAACATACTATGTATGCATATGTATCTTCTTGAAAGAGTTTAGCAACAATAAAGCTGAAATTCAAAATAAAGTAGAATTTTGGAGATAAATATATTATCAAATAATTGCATCTCTAAATTTGAAATAACTTGCATGCATATATACATGTTTTAAAGCAACAAAGTAAAATAGTTATAAGAAGAAATATCTAGTGTGGTGGTCAAGTAAAAATTGGCTGGAAAAGAGTTCAGTGCATATCTTAAACCAAAAAAATTCTAGAAATTTAATTCTCAGAGAGTGTCTTTGATTTAACTTTTATTTTTTTTAAACAAGCTGCCACTTGACTTCTTTACTAATAACCATATGTATTAAACTTAACAATTGTAAGATTATTTTTTAAACGTAGGTATTAAAGAAATTCTCATTACTTTCATATACACTGTGTCAACATTAAAACTTGCAATCGGCAATTTCTCTCAATTGAAAAAGTTACTAATAATCACTCAAAACCGTTTTGGTGGTTCCTGGAGGGAATTAAAATCACATGATAAGTGACACACCTCCACCCACTCTTGAATATAATTACAAAAATAAAAATTTAACGTCTTCGTTTTTGAATAATTGGAAAAATGGCTTTACCAATTAGTCTGTTGTATGACATTTTTGAAAAGCGCTTGTTATGGGCTTTCCAACGATGTATCGCAAGTAGGGTCGTGCCATTTAAAATTTTCAACTTAAGGTGGCTGTGGCTTGAAGGGTGGGTGGAGGAGCGTCACTTACCATGCCATTTTAATTCCCTCTAAAAACCACCGACACGGTTTTGAGTGATTGTTAGTAACTTTTTTAGTTCTAGAGAAATTGCTGATTGCAAATTTTATAATTGACACCCTGTATGTAGTTTACTGGTCTTGAAAAGAGTTACACAAAAGTTCATTTTAGTAATAAAACAATCGAGTTATTAAGTAGCAAAACTTTTACAAAATTAGGAATTGTCTCTTAAAAAAAATGTCGATGACGTCATTACTCAAAAATCAAAAGGTGTAAAATTTTAAATTAATTTGAAAATTGTGTATTTTTTAAAAAGAAAATTGACCTCTTTAGTAGGATTATTCCATAATAATGCTGCTCAGTGTATATTTACTATGTGTTACAGACAAACAAAAATCTTGTACACTTTTTGTTAATTAACGTATAAGTTGTATTTTCTGTTGTTTAAGAAGGAAATTCTTTAAAAA